GGATCCGGCCCGTTTGGAATGAATAAAACTAAAAAAAAAAAAGCCCGTACCCTTTTATGTAATGATGTTTACTTTGAATTTATATTAGTTCACACAAACACTCCATCCATGCTTTTGTTCCGGCCCTCCGGTCCAGTTTAAGAACCCATTGTGGCCCTCGAGTCAAAAAGTTTGCCCACCCCTGGTAGTGGGAGAAATCACCAAGTCCAGTCAAAGGGTTAAGTACTGGGACGGTGACTCAGGCAGGGACTCGGGATTCCAGGGAAGTCTCCTAGCCTGGGATGGGATGGAATGAGGGTAGGGGCTGAGCTGAGTCTTTTTAAAGGAGCAAGAGTCAGTCTGGTGACATGCAGGGGACATGGCACTTCAGACAGAGGGGAGAGCATAAGTAAAAAGAGTAAAAACAGAGGAGAGGACAGCACCGTGATGGCGAACCTTTTGAGCTCGGCGTGTCAGCATTTTGCAAAACCCTAACTTAACTCTGGTGCCGTGTCACATATAGAAATTTTTTGATATTTGCAACCACAGTAAAACAAAGACTTATATTTTTGATATTTATTTTATATATTTAAATGCCATTTAACAAAGAAAAATCAACCCAAAAAATGAGTTCGCGGGTCACCTCTGACACCCGTGTCGTAGGTTCGCCATCACTGGCTTAAGGACTACCCCGAAGGGCACCGAGCTCACGCGGCCAGCACAGGAACGGCGCCTTCAGATCCCGTTTTAGGGCCGGGGAAACCGAGGCACGGCACCCCCACAAACACCCAGGAGGGAGAGGATGGCAGCGGCCGCGTTTCTAACTGCGCCCCTAACGGCATCTCGGACTCTTTCAGTAAATACATCATCAGAATTCACTGGGCAAACCTTTATCCAGTGCCTATGGTGCACCAGGTACTGTTCTAAGCACTGGGAACACAGCCGCGAACCCAATTACAGAGGCCCACCAACCCTGCCACCCCACTATCCGATACCTTTATTTTATTCCTTTTACATCACCCAACCAGCCCCCAAGTGTCTCTCTTTTAAAAATTATTGTTTTTATTGATTTTCGAGAGGGGAGGAGGGAGGGAGAGAAACATCAATGAGGAGAATCATGGATCGGCTGCCTCCGGCTCCCCGCTTACTGGGGATCGAGCCGCCAATCCAGGCATGTGCCCTTGACCGGGAATAGACAGTGACCTAGGTAGGCACCCAACCATGGAGCCATGCCAGTCGGGCGGGACCAGCGCCTTCATAAGAAGAGATTGGGCCCTAACCAGTGTGGCTCAGCGGATAGAGCGTCGGCCTGCGGACCCAGGGGTCCCGGGTTCGATTCCGGTCAGGGGCATGTACCTTGGTTGCGGGCACATCCCCAGTAGGGGGTGTGCAGGAGGCAGCTGATGGATGTTTCTCTCTCATCAGTGTTTCTAACTCTCTATCCCTCTCCCTTCCTCTCTGTAAAAAATCAATAAAATATATATTTAAAAAAAAAAAAGAAGAGGAGATTGGCTGTTGTCATGGATGGGGAGACGAGAAGACACAGGGAGGGGACAGCCATCTATCTGCAAGCCCAGGAGCGAGGTCTGAGAAGAAGCCAGTCCCGCCCACACCTTGATCAGGAGCTTCTGGCCCCCAGGACAGCGAGAAAACACATTTTTGTCGCTCGTAGACGAAAGGGGCCACGTGCTGACCCGACAGCTCAGGGGAGGCCTGCGGGCGGCCTTGCAAACTCAGACCTAAGGTCACCACACAGGAGGGTCTGACATTGAACTTGAACGAGAAGCAGTGGTGGTGGGGACTCACCTCCTAGGCCGGTATCTTCCCTGACAAGGGCAGCCTTTGCCTCCACGGAGCCTGTCTGTCTTTTTGCGTCTGTGGTAACACACCCTTGAAATGTCTGGGTGCCTGGTAACGTCCCTTTTCCCGGACCCCTCGGGGCACAGCCTGATGTGCTGGGCGCCAGGACAGAGACCACAGATCCCCTCATTGTCATGTTCATTGTCCCTGCACCCACCTAAGCGTGTGTCCATCATTTTACCTTTTATCCAATCCCAGGGGTTCCCCGCTTTGCTTGCTCCCGCCTCCCTCATCCATCCCCAATGGATCTCACGTCACCCACCTACGTCCCTCCTTTGATTGCAACATATAAACACAGATGGAACCCCCATTCTCCGGAGCTTTATCCCAATCCCTTGAGGTTCTGCTTCCCGGCATTTGTCGACAGTTTGGCTCAAATAAACTCCCAAAAATTCTTTACAGGTTTCAATGGTTTTTTTACGTGAACATTCTTAAGCCACCCAGTCTGTCCTACTTTGTTGTTGTTTTTGTTGTAAGTGTTGCATTGAAATAACCCCAAGATCTTCCAAGTCTTTACAGAAACATATTTTCATGGATTCTTTTGCCAATTTTTATTGGATTGTTTACTTTTTTTCCAATATATTTTTATTGATTTCAGTGAAGGAGGGAGAGAGAGAAAGAGATAGAAACATCAATGATGAGAGAGAATCATTGATTGGCTGCCTCCTCCATGCCCCACACTGGGGACTGAGCCTGCAACCCAGGCATGTGCCCTTGATGGGAATCAAACCTGGGACCCTTCAGTCCACAGGCTGACGCTCTAGCCCAGGGGTGGGCAAACTTTTTGACTCGAGGGCCACAATGGGTTCTTAAACTGGACCGGAGGGCCGGAACAAAAGCATGGATGGAGTGTTTGTGTGAACTAATATAAATTCAAAGTAAACATCATTACATAAAAGGGTACGGCCTTTTTTTTTTTTAGTTTTATTCATTTCAAACGAGCCTGATCCGGCCCTCGGGCCGTAGTTTGCCCATGGCTGCTTTAGCCACTAAGCCAGTGGTTCTCAACCTGTGGGTCTCGACCCCTTTGGCGGTCGAACGACCCTTTCACAGGGGTCGCCTAAGACCATCGGAAAACACATATATAATTACATATTGTTTTTGTGATTAATCACTATGCTTTAATGATGTTCAATTTGTAACCATGAAAATCCATCCTGCATATCAGATATTTACATGACGATTCATCACAGTAGCAACCTTACAGTGATGAAGTAGCAACGAAAATAATTTCATGGTTGGGGGTCACCACAGCATGAGGAGCTGTATTAAAGGGTCGCGGGTTAGGAAGGTTGAGAACCACTGCAGTGAGCCAAGCCGGGTAGGGCTGTGGTGCTTCGTTCCGGCAGCCCTAGCAAAGGAGCCGCCTTGCTTGGAATAGGTTGTACATAACAAAACTAAATGGTTTCAAAAGTGCTTTAGAAGAGAGAGAGGGCTTTGTTGTTATCGCTGGGTTTTTCTTTCATAGAAAAGCAGTTGGAAACCAAGCCTCTCAGGCTGGTATTGTGGCTCCCAGTCCCTCCGTCCTGCTCGGTCGCACTGGCCTGCGCCTCCTGTCCTCAAGGTCGCCTCAAGGTCCACCCTGGCCACCGGCGCTCCAGCCCTCAGGCTGACAGCCATGCAGAGGAGGGGGAGGAAGGCCGAAAGGAACATACCTTCCCGTGGAGTCAGCGTGCGTCAAGCGGCCTGCAGGGACATTCCACACACCACTGTGTTTACATCTCCTCGGCTGGAGCCTGGCCCTCCGAGGTGGGCTGGGAAGCCGTCTTCGTGCCGGACGCATCCGCACCCCAAATAAAGTTGGGGTTCTGTTATCCAGGGACGAGAGGAAGCGGATGGTGACAGGGTAACCAGCTGGCAATGTCAGCCTCACCTTTGCTCTCCGGGAACATTGCAGCTTCATGTCTCTCCCTGTGGCGGGGGCTGATACTGTACGTATTCACACATACATCTATATGTGCACACACTATGACATTTTCTTCCTTAAAAAAAAACCATATATGTGTGTGTATATATATATATATATATATATATATATATATATATATGTTTAAAGGGAATGGACTGACTATTCTTGGGGGGGAAAAGGGTGTGGGAGATGCGGGAAGAGACTGGACAAAAATCGTGCACCTATGGATGAGGACAGTGGGTGGGGAGTGAGGGCGGAGGGTGGGGTAGGAACTGGAAGGAAGGGAGTTATGGGGGAAAAAAAGAGGAACAAATGTAATAATCTGAACAATAAAGATTTAATTAAAAAAAATAAAAATAAAAAAAAGAAAAAAGAAAATTTCCTGGAAAGAGTCAGGCTGAAATTGAATTGACCAACCTAAAAATTAACTACAGTTCTTAAAGGTCATTTTGTTTAATTTTATGAATAATTCTAGCAAGTCAAATAACTGCAAATATGACAATTATATAATTGAGTCTCCATAATCTCTATTCTACCTTTTAATGTTATTTATGTTTATAAACATCTCTCAGCCCAACACTGACACAATCTGCTTCCTATAGCATTCAGATAACATGTACTGTCTCTTATTACTTGTCTTTTTAAAAAATATATATTTTTATAGATTTCAGAAAGGAAGGGAGAGGGAGAGAGAGAGAAAAACATCCATCATGAGAGAGAATGATTGATCAGCTGCCTCCTACAAGCCCCCCACTGTGGATGGAGCCCGAAACCCAGGCACGTGCCCTTGACTGGAATGGAACCCGGGACCCTTCAGTCCCCAGGCCGACGCTCTATCCACTGAGCCACACCGGCCAGGGCTGGGGCAACATTTTCTACTGACCTTGAGCAGAACAACCCATAAGGAAAAGAGGTGGTTTTTTTTTTTTTCCCCTTTTCTTTTTTTAAATCATAAGGGAAATGTCACAAGCTTTCTCCCCGGGGCGAACTGCTCCACCCAGTGGCTCGGAGCCCTGTCCTGGTGCCGTCATGCTGAAAAACACGCACAGCTGTGGTCGGTCACGTGCTCCGCTGGGAGGGGTCGCCCAGGTCATTCATTCTGCCAGCTGCCAAACGCAGGGGCCGAAGTGCTGGGAGTCCCAGGTAGACAGAAAAAAAAAAGTCACTCTGTGACTTGGAGAAATTGCGGGGATTGTATACAACATTCCAGGGCTGCTGACTTTTGCCCAAGGAGGAGATTCATCTTAGAACCCACTGATGGGAAAACATCTGGATTGACTGCGTTTTTACCGTTTCGGCATTTGGAACTTGATTCGGTTCAACTCTCCGAGAATCTATACTAATAAAAGGGTAATATGCTAATTAGACCGGGTCATCCGGCCATCTTCCAGACATCTGACTTCCTCCCGGACAAAGCCGTGGTGGTGGGGGCTGAAGCAGAGGCCACTGGGGGTGAGACCAGGCTGGCAGGGGAGGGCGGTTGCGGGCGACCAGGCTGGCAGGGGAGGGCCGTTGGGGGTGAACTGGCCTGCAAGGGAGGGCTGTTGGGGGAGAGATCAGGCTGGCAGGGGAGGGCAGTTGGGGGCAAACTGGCCTGCAAGGGAGGGCAGCTGGGGCCGACCAGGCCTGCAGGGGAGGGCAGTTGGGTGCGAGGCAGGCAAGCAGGTGAGTGGTGAGGAGCCAGTGGTCCTGGATTGAGAGAGGGATGTCTGCACAGGGATCGGGCCTAAACCAGCAGTCGGACATCCCCTGAGGGGTCCCAGATTGGAGAGGGTGCAGGCCGGACTGAGGGACACCCCCCATGCACGAATGTCGTGCACCGGGCCTCTAGTTTATTTAATGAGGGCCTACTACAACAAAGACCCAGCTGAGGCCCGGATGGAAAGGTGACTACAACAAGGTCCCTGCCCTGAAGAGCTTGCAGACCAGCAGAGGAGATAAGCAAAACCCAGATCACAGGAGGCCAGGACCTGAAGATAATATGGTGATAACTAGAGGCCTGGTGCACGACATTTGTGCACTGGGGGTGGGGGGTGAGTTGCGGAGGGGGTTCCCTCAGCCCAGCCTGAGCCCTTTAGCAGCCCAGGAGCCCTCGGGGGATGTCCGACTGATGGCTTAGGAGCCCAGCTTCTGGCTGAGCGGTGCTCCCCATTTGGGAGCTCACTGACCACCAGGGGGCAGCTCCTGCGTTAAGCGTCTGCCCCCTGGTGGTCAGTGCGCATTATAGCAACCTGTCATTCTGCCATTTGGTTGATTTGCATATTAGCCTTTTATTATATAGGATAATATCCCTGTTTTAAGGAAACCCTAAGCCAGCCGTGGGCAAACTACAGCCCAAGGGCCGGATCTTGAAATGAATAAAACTAAAAAAAAAAAAAGACCGTACCCTTTTATGTAATGATGTTTACTTTGAATTTATATTAGTTCACACAAACACTCCACCCATGCTTTTGTTCCGGCCCTCCGGTCCAGTTTAAGAACCCATTGTGGCCCTCGAGTCAAAAAGTTTGCCACCCCTGTCCTAAGCAGTGGTATTTTAAATCCGCTGTATTTTAAAATGCAAAGAGGCACATAAACACACTAATGCCTCCAAAATATTGATTGATATTGTTCTCTTCAGCAAGATAGAAGAAAAAAAGTCTAATTTCAGCCCTGGCCGGCTTGGCTCAGTGGATAGAGCGTCGGCCTGCAGACTGAAGGGTCCTGGGTTTGATTCTGGCCAAGGTCACCTGCCTGGGTTGCGAGCTTGATCCCCAGGGTGGGGCGTGCAGGAGGCAACCAATCAATGATTCTCTCTCATCATTGATGTTTCTATCCTTTCCCTCTCCCTTCCTCTCT